ATGATCTCGACCAATGCTGCGTTGTCCGTGTAAAATAGTATGCGTTGGTTTCGCATGAGATGACCCCATAAGTGGACACTGAGGACAATTGGAAAAAAACTCTAAAACCACAATGTTGAGTTTTTTCCAATCCTCAGGCCAAGGCCCATCAGGCCAAGGCCCATAAAACCAAAAGTTGCCAAATATAGCGCCAAAGCCATGACCCGCAGCGGCATCAGTATACAAATTCAAAAGGTTGGAAGGGGGCCAATCATCGGAAAGAAAAAACGACCGGCCATTGAAATCATCCAGAAAGGATTTCCAAAGGCCTAAATCTGCTTTAACTGACCTTGTTAGACGAATACGATGAAAGGGGGCATTAACACCTTTAGTTAAATCAATGAAACGCCGCAGAAAAGCCCGACCCGGTGGTACGACAGTACAAGCGAAATTAAGCAGACCAATCAAAGATTGAACCTCTTTTAAGGTTGCCTTTCGACAGCAAAGATATTCGGAAAGAATACTGCGCGTTTTCAATATTTTGTCAGCTGGTAAACGAGCCTCCATTATATTCGTGTCTAACTCGATGCCAGCAAAAGTCAAAATTGTGGAAGGGCCGACCGTTTTCTCAGGAGCGATTGGCACCCCCAAATACTCGCACAGGGACAAAAAACCCTCAAGGCAGTGCAACATTGTTCGTAGGATGCGCCTGCCATTAGGTAGTCATCAAGGATATGAATAAGATGTGGAATGTTACACCGAGTTTTAGCAACCCACTCAAGAGCAGTGCTAAACATTTCGAATGTGCGGCAGGAAGATGCACACCCCATGGGCATGGCTTTATCATAATAATACTTTCCTTGCCACATGATACCTAACAGAGGGTAATCCGCTGGACGAATGGGTATAATGCGAAAAGCACTCTTTTTGTCCGTTTTAGCTAAAAAGCAGTCTCTACCTAATTTTTTTATAATGGCAATTGCATCATCCACACGACTATGAGAAACAGTAGTGTGTTCAGGCGAAATGCCGTCATTGATGGACGGCCCTCGTGGAAAAGATAAGTGGTGAATAAGCCGAAACTCGCCTGGAATCTTCTTAGGCACAACCCCCAAAGGAGAAACACGGAAATTGAAAAGGGGGAGGGGAGGGGCCTACAATTCGACCCGCCACAATTTCTTTCGCAAGTTTAGCACCAACAACTCCAGGGTTTTGATTTGCCGAAATCACGTTTTTTGAACAAAAAGAGTTGTGACCACCCTCAAAGTGAAGAGGAAACCCATAGGTAAAACCCTCAAACAACATTAAAACAACTTTGACAACATATCCTTGTAACAAAGGCAAAAGGCGATCAATTTTTATTGGGGTTGGAAGTGCGCACACCTGCTGCTGGTTTTGTAATGGTGGTTCTGCCTGAGGGACGAAAATTACAGCTTTTAGCGGAGTGCGCAGCTCCACACTTAAAACAGGTATGCTTGTAAGAACAACCTGTGCACTTAACCCCCTTATGGAATGCATGGCAGAAACCAATTGGGACAAATGGACCCAACTGCGAGGTACGCCCAGAAGGCTGTGCAATATTTGACCGAGCTGGAGCAATATGCGCAAAACTCTGTGCACGAATCCACAACTCAAAATGAGTTGTGCCCCAAGGCATCTCATGTGCTCTTGTTTGTCGTAGCGATCGAAACTGAGTGTCATAAAATCTCCAATTTGCTCCTCGTGCAGCCAAATCTCGCACAACCTCCGCATATTTCATTAAATTGGGCGCTTCTTGCGGAAATGTACTGGTGTAAACCCCAACAAAAATCTGGAAGGCTGATGTCCACGCATCAATGCTGTATATGGGTTTAATCTTAGAGGATGGCTCTAATGAAAGTGTTGGCACCGAACTCTCACTCTGTGCCAGTGAAAGCTGATATCTTGTTTCGCCCACATAGGGGTTCAATAGTAAACCAAACTCAATAAACTCATTCGTCCAAATTTTAGCCTTTATTTTGGGACTGACCTGAGCATCAATCGGGATGGTATAATGGAATTAAACTGAACATGGAAGCCAGATGATGGTGGACGCACAACCTCCAGATTACCATGCTCACCTGTGAGGTGCTCTAAGGCTGATGCCACTGGCCCCTGCACTTGGGCACCAGTCTCAGAGCGACCATTAAGGGGTACCTCCCTGGTGTCAACAACCGCAGAAGGAGTTGGTGACTGTATGGCCGCAACGACTGCCTGGGCAACCACAGATGCAATCCTTGTTAAGGTTGCATCTGCGAGATCAGAGACAGCCGTCGCAGCCGATGAAGTTGCCTGAGAAGACGCAGCTGTAGCCATGGGAGGAGCTGGTTCCCTTGCTTGAACATTAGGGACCTTTAGCTAGCAGGACGGCGACGGCTATTAACACAATGAAATTTATGACAGTGTAGAAAGAAAATGCATAATTAAAGGTCCCTTGGGAGTTTTAGACGTCGTCCTTGCTCTGTTTACAACAGCAAAACAAAGATTTTCACGTTTTGTATACAACGTCTGCCTTTCAAGCCGCGAGAAGTCGTCCTCGCCAAATTGGCTTAGTAGAAGTCTTCTCAACTATAAACCTCTGTCTTAACCTTCTTAAACTGCAATAAATTCATACAACGGATAATACAAGACATGTTGTTCTTAAAGTTACTTATTTGAACGAGTTTGTTTTGGCCGTCGTCGTCGCGTTGCCGTCACCTATTTGCTAAAGGTCCCTATAGCTGGATGCGCGTCGAGACCAAGGTGTCAGTTGCTCACGGCGTTGTATTCTGGTGCTGGGACGGGTGGCTGGCTGGCATAGTCTAAAGAGAAACTAGAACAGTGTAGCGTATTGTTGTATTTATAGTTTTCACCGACGGATATACAGGACCAAGTGTAACCTAATATTAGATAGATAGATAGATAGATAGATAGATAGTTTAATAAAACATTTACATTGCAGCCAAAGGCTGAATTACGTAAAGTTTACAAAATGCGAATTATTATTTAATTACTATTATAATTATTAAGTTAAAATTATGCAAATATTTAAAATTTTACTAGGATGATAATAAAAAAGATACCACTAACGTTACGAAGACATCTTCGATGCCATCGCAAATATAAAAGAGTTTTTAGTACGATTAGTATTAAAATGAGGAATGTCAAATTCATGACCATTTCTGAGATCGTGATGCCAGTTATGTTTCTGTGGGAGGAGGTCATAAAGTTTGTGGTTTGGATCCTTTGTAACATTATCAAACAAGTTTTTACATAAGAAATTATGGTGTTCTTCTATTGGTTTGATGTTCAAAATTTCTCCTGTTGCAGAGTAGTCCATTCCTGGATTTATTATTGAAATAGCCCTTTTTTCTAGTCGAATCAATTCGTTCCTTAAGTATTGTGGAAGGGAGTGATAAAAGGCTGGTACTGCGTAATCCATGACCGATCTAACGCAAGACGTATAGAATAACACAAGATCTTTAACTGGTAACCTAGCTCCTTTTAATTGAACCAGATAATATAGTCTCTTACTGGCTTTTTTGACGACCTCTTTTATATGGGCATGCCAAGTTAGATTGTTACTTATTGTTACTCCCAATAATTTAGCACTTTCGACTATTTCGACTTCTTTACCATTAAGTATGACTTGATCTAGAACAACTGGGACCTTACTAAAAGAAATTCTCAATTCTTTACATTTGTCTGGATGTAGCTTTAATCTATTTTCTTCTGACCATTGCTTAATATGATCTGCTATGTTTTGGGCTGTACTAACATTGCCTTTGGGAAGAATTTCCGATGCTGTGGTATCATCCACGAACTTC